AAAAAAAAAAAAGAATTGTGGAGTACTTTCACTTTTCTCTTTTCACAATTCTTTTTCTTCAGAAACCCAGTTGTTATACAGGTAGTCAGTTCCCAACTTACAATGGAACTCCATCACTCCAAGTCTGTCATAAGTCACTTCTGACATAAGTTGAATATACTGCTTTTTAAGGTTTTCATTATTAATGCCTTTTATTGTCAGTATCTTTATAAATCTGATCTTTATTTGTCTTTGGGGAATTAGAAAATGACAAAAAACTTATAGCTTCAATATCAGCACTTCCTGCTTTTCCAGTTCCATGTATTTTATACATACATATATAAAGGGGGGAGGTGGGCCTGGACTGTCCTAAATGCAGTTGTGATAACATGAATATATGGAGTTGGAGACTACTTATATATCACTGAGGGTTTGCCCATCAGAATCTAATCTAAGAATTCCTGGTTTGCAGCATTCTTTAGGGGGCTCAAAGGAGCAAGGTGAACTTTGTTATTTAGAGTTGCTGTAACACAGATATCACAAGGGGATGGCTTGAACAAATGGAAATTAATTTTTTTTCACAGTGTTGGAAATTTGAAGTCTGAATTTAGGGGCTAGGAAAATCCTTTCTCCCTTTGTCACCTCTGGGGGAAGCTTCTTGTTTCTTTTTAACATTATTGTTGGGGCTTTTTTTTTAAAATTTCTTTATTAATTTTAATGAAAGTTTAAAGAGACAGGATTTCCAGTCATTCATTGTTGCCCTTTTCTCCCGGCCCACCTCATCCCCGCCAAATCACTCTTCTCCTTAAAAAGAAAAAGAAAAACTCTTTGATAGTTATACAATCCCTCCCTGTTGGGGATTTTTCTTTTTAAATCTCCATGTGTCTTGGCCTTCCTGTGGACTGAGGAGCTACCACCCTGGCTCCAAAATACCTGCTCTCTCTTCTTCTTCTTTGGTATAACTAAGTCCTCCTGTCTGCTCATTTTTATTTCCTTTTATCTCTTGTAAGAGAAAAGATATTACAAGCCACACTCTAAGGAAATTTTCCCTTACACCAGATCAGGAATGTGATGAAATAAAGGGTGTTGCATGTCACCCTTAATCCTTGTACAGCTGATTAGCAGATCAGAACACATGGAGGAATAATTATCTAACTAACAAGCTACTGAACATTATGACCCAACAATAAGGTGTGTCGGAGTCAGTGAAACAGGTTCAGGGCAGAGCCAGCTTCAGAACTTTTGTACATAGGATCATTATGTGTTGCAAGTGACCCAACAGCACATAACAACAACAACAACAACAACAATAACAATAACAATTGGATGTATATTTGAGGGAGGAGGGGATGTCACAGTTGAATCCATTAACAGTAGCATTCAGAAAATCAGAAATACTCAAATTCCAAGGAAACTTGTAGCTCCAAGTGAATAGTTTATACTAGGACATACAGAAATGACTGTTCAGCTTTCTGCTTGATTCTGCTCCATGTTGTGAGTTTACATCAATTTGATTATGATTCATCGAGACCCCATGGGTACAAAGGAGAACTGCTGTATGGAGTTCTCATGGCTGCATCATTTGGGAAGCAGATCCCCAGCCTGGCCTGCCTTCTGAGAAGCCCTGAGTGGGTTAGAACCTCACCTTTATGGCTCATAGACAAACATTTAATGGTTTGCACTACGCAGGAACTCCTCTAACCACCAAGGAATTCCTCTAGTCAAGAATGCTAATGACTTCTATGCCATCTGAAACTTAACTTCTGAGCCAGAACTTTCATCCCCTTATTGGCAGAATATACCCCTGAATTCAGTAGGTGGGGATCCTAGGAGATACAGTTCTGAGATTGCCATCTCCTCAGAAATGAAAAAAAAAATTGGTAGGAAAATAGTGCTGAGCTCTTAGGTCAACAATCTGGTATCATTTAAAGTTATTAATCTGAAAAAGAAGGTAGTCAGTTACATAAAGAGATATTTTGGTACCACATGATAAGTTCTACAGTAGAAAGATGGCCAGAGGATGATGGTAAAATGGAGGTGGACCCCTAACTCTCTAGGCAAGTCAAATCATTTTTCATGTAGAGAATGAAGTTTATTCTGGAGCATTTTAGGTAGAAAAACTAAGATGTACAAAGACAGAAGTCCCCTGTGAAGTGAAACATGAAGATCAGGACCCCTCAAATCAATTCACAGAGTAGAAAGGGATACTGCTGCTGAAGCTGCTGCTGCAGGTGAAGCCCTTGGGATATTTCTGTTGTTGGTAGGTGCCATCAAGTCGAATATGACTCATAGCAGCCCTGTGAACAACAGAGGGAAATCCTGTCCTATCCTGTGTCATCCTCACAATCTCTGACACACTCAAGATAGAGTTCATTTATTGGGACTGCATAGATTGCACCTACAAGTTCACATACATACACCCTCATACACTGATCTCTACCTAAGGATTTAAGGTTAATTTATTAATCTTTCACAAACAGTGATTGAGTAGCAGATACATATCATGTTGCCAGCTGCCATCAAGTCATAGCTGGCTCAAAGCGGACCCTCCAGCAGGATAAAAACATAAACAAACAAACAAAAAAAACCCCACCCTTCAGAGTTTCTAAATACATGAGAAGAAATTGTTCACCTTTCTCCCAAGGAGCCTCTGGTCGTCTTGAAATGCTCGCCTTTGGGTTGTCAGTGCAACTCCTACTGCCCTGTAAACAAAACAAAGAGGATCCCCACACTTATGGGGTTGGTATATATAAAAGAGATCAAAAACAGGTAGACAAATATGAAGGGACAATTTTCTGTACTATGATACAGACAAATAGGGTGACAAGTGCATAGTGATTTGGAGAAAGTATGGCCAGGAAGGACAATGTCTGAGCTCGGATCTCAAGGATAAGACAGCGCCATCGATGCAGAATGATGATGAGGACGCATGTGTGATAGGGCGGACGAGCCAGTTGCTGCGTAGCCCCTTCTGACTGTGTGTTAGAGTAGGCCTGTGTTCTATAAGGTTCTTAATGACCGGCTTTCCAAGGCTGACGACCAGGTCTCTCTTCTGAGGCATCTCCAGATCAATTCAAACCTGCAGCCTTGCAGTTATTAGCAGAGTCCATTAATGGTTTGTGCTACATAGAGACTGTCGGCAGCGAGAACCACCTAGTACAAAGACTGTGAAGTGTGAACAGACTGAGTGTGATCACGGAGCAGAAGGAAGATCACTGGGACTGAGGCAGCCGGGAAGGGGGTGAGGAGGAGGATGAGCTCCTAGAGTCCCTGTAGACTGTGCGGAGCCCTGAGGAGCCCTGAGGTCAAGCAAACATTCCAGAGTTTCTTCCTAATGACGTGCGAAGCCACTGGGGAGTCTTATCAGAAAGTGGTCTGATTCAATTTACTTTTTAAACGTGTTTGTGTCAGAAACCAATCATAAAGAAAAACAATGTCAAATTAAATATAACATTGTGAAACCTCACCTCATCAACATTATTAAGAATATGAAAAACAGGTGACAGCCTGGGGAAGATGTTGGCAGAACAAAGAACTCATATTTGGAATCTATAAAGAATTCTTACAAGTTACTAAAACGAAAAACAACTCAAGCTCCCATCCTCCCATTCCTTGCTATGCTTTTCCCTGTGGGCAAAGAACATGAGCAGATACTTCAAGAAAGAAGATATGCAGATAGACAATACACTAATCACATGGTTCTTGCTGATGTTGTTAAGTGCCTTCAAGTTGACTACAACTCAGACACCCTGTGAACAATCTGGACTTTGCCCTATCCTCGGCCATCCTCAGTATGTCAGTTTCTAACATCATCACAGTCTGTGTCAATGCATTTATTTTGAGTGTCTCCCTCCTTCTTTGCAATGACTGCGCCCTCCTGACAACATGCCCAAAGTATGTGAGCTTGAGTTTCACCATCTTTACCTCTAAGATAGAATTGTTTGCTTTTTTGACAGTCCAGTAAAATTGTTCCTCAGCATAATTCTGCATCAGGGGAATGAAAACAAAAACCACATTACGATCCAATTTCACATGCCCTGGAATAGTTGAGAGGAGTTCTGGCGTCCTAATGGCAAGGATTTGCACTGCCAACCCAAAGGCCCGCAATTCTAATCCACTGGCTGCTCCACGGGAGCAGGGGAGGAGACAGATGGGCAATCTCCTCCTATGTGATTTACAGCCTCTGAAAACCCACCTGGAGGGTCAGTTATGAGTTGGTTCTGACTCGATGATACATAAAAACAGAATAGTTGAGAGTTCTTGGGTGGAACAAAAAGTTACTAGGCTGTTCACCAAAAGGTTTGTACCTTGGAAGAATGGTCTGGCGATCTAGCTCTGAAAAATCTGCCACTGAAAACCTTTATGGGACATAGTTCTGTTCTGACACACATGCGATAAATATGAGTTGGAATTGGCTTGTCAGCAACTGGTTTCCTACATTGTTGGAGGTTTTTTGGGGGACAGGGGATTGAAGATTTTTTGGCTGTTTCTAATGAGGTTAAACCTACCCTTTGAACCAAACACTGAAAACTCACCTACAAAAAAGCTTTTGACAAGAGTATTCACAGTGGCCTTACTCATAATTGCCATTGACAGATGGGTAAGGAGGTTGTGGTGTATGCATACAAGTATTCAGAAATAAAAGAGAAATCAATCCCTGAACAGCAAAAGTCAGACATAGAAAGACTACATCCCAACTCATTTAGGGGACGGACCTTGGACAAATCAGTTACTGTCCTTCAGTTTCCACCTCTACAAATAAAAGTATCTAATTCACAAGATGACAATAAAAATTAAGTGAAAGATTGTTTATAAAGGAAGCAACCCAGTAACAGTTACTTAAGTGTGGTGATGGTATTTTGTGCTATTGAGTTGGAACTGATGCATAGCTGACCCTCTAGCAGGTTTTCAAAGGCTGTTAACCACATAGAAGGTGATTTTCCATCTTTCTCCACCAGAGAACCTGGTAGATTTGAACTGCATGCCTTGAGTTGGCAGAGCAACAGAGCAACTCCTTACCACTATACCACCAGAGTTCATTATTCACGGAGGAGATTTCCAATAAGCTGAGCCATCTATCTATCTATCTATCTATCTATCTATCTATCTATCTATCTATCTATCTATCTATCTATCTATCTATCATCTATCCATCTACCCTTAAAGGAAACTGTAATACTTTGAGCTCAACTGGAAATATATTTTTGTGTTTCTGCTTTACAAAGTGATGCCTGTGTAACTTAAGACAAAGATTTGAAAATCAGGAGGAAAAATTGGAAAACAGTAAGTTCACGAAATCTCCCTGCACTGTGCAGGGCCCGTGGACACAGCTGGTAGCTATCATTTCCCTGTGATTATTAGAGGACAATCTGGCACCTTCTGTGATCACACACAAATCTGTCATCATCGTGTCCTACCTCATCTTTTACCAAGTGTCAGAGGGAAGGGAAAAGGCAGTTGGAGCAGAGCAAAAGGCACAAAGCTGTAATTATGGAGGTGGTCGGCCTCTGCTTTTCTAACGGAAACTCCCATTTTTATCTTTCCAGATGTCTCCAAGACAAATCACTTATACAGCTTCAGGACTCATCTGAAGTTTAGCTTTAAAATTAATGGGGGAAGAAGGACTGAGTGGAAATGCATCTTTAACCTCATGGCTTAATTCCTGACTAGCTCACCTTTCATTTCTTCACTGAGCCTCCTTTGGCGAGTCGGAACCCTTCGAAGGTCCCTCAGAGAGGCCTCTGCTCTTGTCCTCTTGACTCTGCTTATAGAGTGCTAAGGAGGCAGCCCCCCACTTAGAGTAACTCCTCCCTCTCTCAGGGATTTTTCTGGCAAATCGAGCTGGCCCACCATACCCCCTTTTCCCAGGCTGTGGTCCAGGGCCCCATTTTGGCCGCCATTCCCTCCAGTTATTACAGTAAGTGAGTTGAGGAGAAATGAGATTTAAAGAACCCCTTTGCACTGTGAGATAGTTTCTCTCTGTATGCTACTTACGGAACCAGGCAGGCCGCTTGGAAGACAGTGCCTGGTGGTCGTGGGCCATGTCTTCTCCAGCCTGCCATCATCTCTCATCTGGGCTGTCATAACATTTCATTTCCTTTCTGCAGAACCTTTTTGGGAACCTGGTAACTGGACACAGTGTTCTGCCACCTGTGGCCACTTGGGCACCAGTGTTCGGAGACCCCGATGTGTGATGGCCAATGGGCAGGAAGTGAAGGAGACCCTTTGTGATCACCTTGAGAAGCCCCTGGCTGGACCTCAGCCCTGTAACATCCAGGACTGCCCTGCGAGGTATGTGTAGTGATTCTCCGCATCTTGACATTAACAAGATTTGGCCTATTTCAGTAGGTGTGGTACTTTTGTTGTTGTTAGAGGGCTGTGCCATCAAATCAACTACAATTCATAGTGACTCAGTGAACAACAGATTGAAACCTGGCCCTGACTGATGCATCCTAACAACATGCCCAAAGTATGTGAGACAGAAGTATGTGGTACTTTGGACCTATAATAAAATAGCTCAGTTGTATTTAGCATTTATTCTCTACCAGTCTTTTTGCTAAACCAAATTCTTTAAATACTGCATACCTCATTACACAAGTGACTTGGTCTTCCTAAACTTGGAGACTCTCCTGTCTTACCCAGTTATAGCTCACTTTGACATGATGACCCTGTTTGTCCTCTGAGTAAAAGAAAACCAGTAGTCCTCTTGGTTAACAAGGTTGGAGTGAATCTATTTTGCCACTTGTTCCATAGAGAACCATAACAGTCTTGAAATAGACACCAAGTGAGGACCAACTTTTCCTCTTGAAGAGACGCCCAGTAATATCTCCCATCCTAGTTCTCACTAAGGTCTTGTAGTTTTTATTCCTAGGTGGTTGACCAGTACCTGGTCGGAGTGCTCGGTGTCTTGTGGGGAGGGATTCCACAGCAGACAAGTAACATGCAGAAGGATGAGAGCCAATGGGACTGTTCAGATGGTACCTCTACGGGCATGTGCTGCCAAAGACCAGCCTCTGGGGAGAAAACCATGCTCTGGTCCTCCCTGTGGGCAATGGACCGTGGAACCAGGGAGCCAGGTAAGGTGACAGACCTATGATGTTGTCATCACCTTGTTTCTAAGAAATACATATTTTCATTTTGGAGAAAATAAGGCTGATCTTTAAAATGAATAAATGGCTCTGAACTCATGGTTGGCATTTGGAAATAATAGAGCCTCTGTCTGGTGGATCTCTGGAGGCCTACTGGTAAGAAACAGTGCTAGAATCCCAAAGGCACGAGTTTGGAATCAACCAGTTGCTACATGGGAGGATTGGGCAGTCTCCTTCCATGCAATTTACTGCCTCTGAAAACCTGTTGGAGTGTCAGCTATGGGTCAGTTTGACTGATTGGCCCACAGCATCAACATGTCCTTGGGTATAAAAGAAAAGCATATTTGGATCCATCTCTTTCTCTCACACACAACTGTTGAGCTGGAACTAATAGCTGCCCTTCTGTCAGGTTTCTGAGGCAAGAAGACATTGTCCATCTCCTTTCTCATATACCTGGTGGTGGACTCGAACTGCCGAGAGGGGCAGGCTTTGGGTTAGTTGTGCAACTTGCTATAGACTAGTTCACCAGCGAAGCAACATGATAGACTAGTTGAAGTCAGCAGGAATAAGATCAGCCTTTACAAAAAGGAGAATATTGAACATACATGCATAAAAATCTTAGAACTAATATCCCACATGTCACTTTGAATAATATAATAAAAAACATTTTTGTAACAATTTGAAAGAATATGTAGGAAGCCATAAAGAAAATAGCAGCACATTGTTGAACTCTAGAGAGAGGTTATGTAAATAAGAAACCTGCTGTCTTTGTGAACGGACAGTCTCAGTGTTCTACAGAGGTCTATTCCCTTCAGTGAACTGATACGTGTAAGATTACACCCGTTAAAATGACAGAACGTTTTATATATTGAGCTTGACAAGATACTTCTGACATTGATCTTAGAAGACGAGTAGATGAGGACAAGAGATTATAGAAAACAGAATTCAGTGGATGCACGTCAAAGCATACTGTAGAGCTGTCACAAGTTAAGGTGTAAGGTCAGTGTAGGAGGTGACGTGGGTCATGGGGTGCAGGGAGAGCACAGACTCAGATCCATGGGAAATGTATGTAACGTCCAAAGGCAGTTAATCATTGGAGAAGTAATGGTTTCAGAAATAGTGTTGTGAAATTACAAACCACTCTTGAAAGCCATTAAAGAACATATAAAGGAGTAGAGAGGCATTCTACCTCCATAAAATGGAGACTTAACATTGCTATATGGCAACGTGCTGTAAATTTAACAGAATCCCTGCCAAAATTCTAAGGTGCCTTATTTTTTAGTGTTTCAAAGTTGATCCTAAAGTTCACATGGAAATGAAAAGGAATCAGAGTGGTGAAAACTGTCTTTTAAAAGATCAAAATTGTAGGACTCACACTTCCTGATTTTAAAAAAAATACTATGAAGCTATAATGGTCTAATAAGCTGCACTGCGATCCTAAAGGTATGTGGTTTGAGGCCACCAGCTGCTCCGCAGGAAAAGAATGAGCAATCTCCTTCTGTGTAATCATCCGTCTCTGGAAACCTGCTAGAGGGTCAGCTATGGGTCAGTTCCAACTTTATGGTACACAACAACAACAACATGAAGTAATCAAAACACTGTGGCACTGGCATAGGCTAGACAGATAGATTGATGGAATAGAACTGAGAATCTAGAAGTAAACCCATACGTGTTCACTGATGCAACAAATGGTGCTGAGACAACAGGATATCCTCAAGCAAAATAATGCACCTAGACCCTACTTCATGCCATATTCAATAAATTAACTCCAAATGTAATAAAGACCTAAATTAAAGAGCTATGACACCCTAAGTACACAGAACAATTAAAAGCCTAGATAAATTGAACTTAATGGCCAATAAAAATTCTGTGGTGCAAAGGACAGGACAGCCTCAAGAAAGTGAAGAGAATAGATACATGCACACCCATGTTCATAATAGCTAGATGACGGAAACAATCTAAATGTCTATCAATAGATGACTGGATAAATAAACTGTAGGACATGCATACAATAGAATACAACACTGGGTCATAGGGAGTTGCCCAGCTAACAATTAAAACACAAATAGTCCAATTAAAAATTTGTCAAAGGAGACGAATGGATATTTGGTAAAAGAACAAACAAAAAAACAACACCAGCCCTTTCTGACAACATGCTAAGAGTATGTGAGGAGACACCCTGGTTGTACTTCTTCTAAGATAGATCTCTTTGATTTTTTTGGTAGATCAAAGCACTCCTCATCAATGTCACATTCAAATAATGGATTCTTCTTTGTTCTTCCTTATTCATTGTCCAACTTTTATATGCATAGGAAGCAACTGAAAAATCCCACAGCTTGGACAAGATACGTCTTAGTATTTCCGTTGACATCTTTAGCACTTTGGAGAGGTCCTTGAGAGCACCTCTTTACTAGTGCAACACGTGTTTTGATTTCTTGACTACTGCTGCTATGGGTGTTGATTGTGGATCCAAGTAAAGTGAAGTAATTGGTAATCTTTTCTCCATCTTTCCTCCTTGATGCTGCCTATGGACCATTGGTGAGGATTTATATTTACTTGACGTGGATATATAATCCATACTAGAAGCTATAGTGTTGATCCTCCTCACTTTCTAAAAGCTATTTTGTATCTGCATAGCACAGATTCGACTCCTAGAGCTGACACTCTGAATTCAGACTTTTAGCTTTCTAACATGGATCATAACAAATTGTGGCTCACATTGAGAAGAATGGGGATCCCAGAACACTTAATTGTGCTTATATGGAATCTATACCTAGACCAAGAAGCTATTGTCCAAACAGAACAAGGGAACACTGCATGTTTAAAGACAAGGTAGGGTGTGTGGAAGGGTTGTATTCTTACTCCTTACCTATTTAATCTGTAGGCAGAGTAAATAATTCACAAAGCCAAACTCTATCAAGAGAAGTATGGCATCAGGATTGGAGGAAAATTCATCAACCACCTGCATTATGCTGATAACACAACTTTGCTTGCTGAAAGTAAGGAGGATATGAAATGCTTGCTTCATAAGATCAAGGACTACAGCCTTTGCTATGGATTACATCTCAGTATCAAGAAGACAAAAGTCCTCACCACAGGACCAACAGTCAACATTGTGATAGATGGAGAAAAGTCTGGAGTTTTTACTGATTTAATCTTGCCTGGGTCAACAGTCAACTCATGATACCAGTAGTCAGGAAATCAGGAGATGTATTACATTGGGCAAGTCTACTGTCAGGGACCTCTCCAAAATATTGAAGAGCAATGATGTCAGTTTGAAGACTAAAGTGCTCCTTATTCAGGCCATGGTCTTCTCAATCACTTGCTACACTTCAGAGAGCTAGACAATGAATAAGGATGACAGAAGAATAGATGCCTTTGAGTTGTGGTGCTGGAGAAAGGTACTGAATAGCCCACAGACTGCCAAAAGAACAAACAGTTATGTCCTGGAAAGTGTATGGCCAGAGTACTTCTTGGAGGCAAAGATGGCAAAGCTTTATCGTTCATATTTGGACATGTAGCTAGGCAAGGCTGCTCCTTGGAAAGGAACATAATGCTTGAAAAGATGGAGGGTCAGTGAAGGAGAGGAAGTCACCCAATGAGATGGATTGACCCTGGGTCTTCAGCCATAGACTCTAGAGTCTCAGAGAAGATGAGGATGGCATTTCAGGTTGGCTGCTCTTAAGGTCGCTGTAAGTCATACTGGACTTGATGGTACCTAACAAGAAGACCCACCACCAATTGTAAAGAAATAAATTTCTGCTTATTAAAGCCACCCATACTTAGTACTTCTGAAGTACTTAGAAATTATCATTAGATAACTAAAACTGTAATTACATAAACATTTTAAAATTACCCATTATTTCTATTACATTTTATTTTTCTGTAGTGGAATTCAGCTGAGCACCATAAACACCAAATTTGTTTGTCACTTCTGGTTTTGAGTGTAGTCACTTCCGGCTTTAACTGGTAACCACTTGTAGTCACTTCTGGACTTAACTGGTAACCAGTTGCCATTGAGTTCATTCCAAGTCATGGCAACAGCACATGTGTCAGGATAGAACCGAGGTTTTCAGTGGTTGATTTTTCAGAAGTAGATCACCAGGTCCTCCTTCTGACACATCTCTAGGTGGACAGGAACCTTCCATCTTTTGGTTAACAAGTACACATGTTAACTATTTGCACCAGCCAGGAACTCCCATTTATAGACTTATACTAGCCAACTCAAGATTTGTCTTTGTTTTTACCCTTTTCCCAGAAGTAATGTAAGTTCTAGTGAAGTTCACATCACATATTGCCCTAGAGTTAGAATCAGCTCTTAGGTGGCCCTCCAGTGAGTTCTTGGGAGGCTGTAAATCCCCCAAGAGGAGAGAGTCCATGTTACTCTGTAGAACCACTGGTGGATTCAAACTGTCAGAGAGACTCCACCTTTGGGTTAGCAGCTCAACTCCCTACAGACTGTACCACCAGAGCTTCAGAGTTACAGGAGGGAGAGAGGGGAAATGTACGTTGTTCCTGATGCTAAGGGAGGGTATCTGGATGTTGCACTGGACTCCAGCCCTCCCTGACTTTTCCTGGGGCTGGCTAGTTCCTTGTAACTGGTATTTGGCTGCCCTGCCTCAGTGCATGATCTGGGCACCCTCAGTCTGCATGATTGCACAGGTTTGACGCACTATGTCTGCTTTTGTTCCAGTGTCCCGGGCGGTGCATTGGCCGAGCGGTGAGGATGCAGCAGCAGCGTCACACAGCTTGTCAGAAGCACAACACTTCTGGAGCCCTGGACCCCCACTGTGATGACAGAAGGAGGTACTGGCCTGCCCTGGGCACCAGTCTCTCTGTCTGCACCAGTGACTAAAACAACATACCAAAAAAAAAAAAGAAGTATTAAGTCATATATACTATTTGATATTGTTATTGTTGTGTACTACCAATAGCTGACCCTCTGGTGGGTTTTCAGAGTCAGGTAAACACACAGGAGGAGATTGCCCATCCTTCTTCCGCAGAGCGGCTGGTAGCCTCTAACTGTGTGCCTTCAGGATTGCAGCACAGCTTCTTGCCACTAGGCCACCAGAACTCCCTATATACTATTCAGGATTATAAACTATTTGAGCATACACAGATCCAAAGGGGAATATTTTTAAAGAGTAGAGTTGAGAATATATACTTTTCCCTAGTTATGTAAAAAAGATCCAGAAGGTATCAAAAGAAGATGGAAAGAATATACTGAGTCATTGCATCGAAAGGAATTGGCAAACACAGAAGAATTTAATGAAACAACATATAAGCAAGCGCCTAAGGTGATGAAGGAAGAAGTTCAAGCTGCTCTGAAGGAAACAGCAAAAAATAAGGCCCAGGAATAGATGGTATACCAATTGACATATTTCAGCTAAAAGATGCTGCCCTGGACGTGCTCACCAAGTTGTGTCAAGAAATCTGGAGAACAACCACTTGGCCAACTGACTGGAAGA